CAGCGAACTAAGTTTTCTTTCAGCTCAAAATGAGCCCCTGCCTGTGTGCAAAGCACGGAATCCGAAACCCTGCCCGATGCTCCCTAAGCCAAGTCCCTTCCATGATGCAAGGGCCACGTCGGACAAAATCTCAAAAGACACCAAAACCTCCACGCAAAAAGCTGAAACCTGAACGCTAAACCCTAAACCCTAAAAGTCCTCAAGGCCATAAAATCGCTCCAGCGGCCTCAGGTGGGCACACGACGGGATCGCCGCGCATGAAGCTTTCGACTGAGGGGGAGGAGAAGGAGGCGGCGGCGACGGGTGGCGATAGCACCTTCAGAGACTTGGGGTTCCCAAGTTTATAGCTTAGGACATAGGACTTGGATCTCTTTGGTTAAAGTTCAGACAAACCTCCAGCGTTTTGCCTCTTTCTGGAGTACTTGTTCTTATACAGGATTCTAAGCAGAGAATTTAGATCAACAGAAATCTGAGCTTGAAGATGCTACAGTTGAGAGCCGGGGCATGGCTCACGAGCTCAACTCTCCCAATTGATATAGAGGTCTCAAGAATTGGAAACACTCCCCCTGTAGTCCTTCTATAAGTATACGATGATAGATGCCAAACTCGAGTCTATGTAGGCAGGCCCCTGTATTCCTGAAACCCCGGACAGCCTGAAATATTTCAGACCCTTCTGCTTGAGAGCTTCTGCTGCTGTTTTTTTCAGGCCGACAGCCTGCCCTCGGGCAGATATCACTGCCGTAGGCGCGCTACTGCTTCGAAACGGCTTGGGGATTCTGGTACACAAGATAAACAAAGCTTCTCCCAACATCTACATGCATGTGTAGGTATGGCAATGCTATACTGATCAACTTGTCGATCCACTTGTTTCTCAGTTAAACACTGTAACTACACATGTATAATGCACGAGACGATGTGGGCACACGCACACAGACACACCTGCGCGCGTACGCCGGAAAAGCCACAATAGTCCTATACTAGAATTTGTTTAGAAGGGACCCCTCCCTATTCGGCGTATTCTGGCCCCATACTACGAGTGCAACAACAAGTGTGCTGCTCGACTGTGGCCCGGCGCGCACCTGTTCCAGTAGTCTCCGCAACAGTTGTGATAGTACTTGCACCTGTTTAGGGAACTTAACAATTAGAATCGGATGTTGGGGGTTTTGGGGTGCAGGGTTATATAGCCGCATAAGGACTACAAGGGACCCAGTATTGTTTGTCTAGGGCTTGGGGGGTTGGGACCTTTGGCTTATGTGTCGGGAAGGCAGAGCTTGGCTGAACCAGGCCGGCAGGCGTTAAGATCACAAGAATCGGGAAAATCCTTCCAAGTGCCATCCGGTCTCTTGCTGTTGCACTGGCAGGGCCTGTCGCGCTTGAAAGACACGTGCCCATGTCGGCAGGATTCGGACTACGTGCGAACACAGCGAACCTCAGCCAGATAACTAATCCAACACCCAAGAGTAGCAGAGTAACCCAATAAACTAAACGAGACTAGTTTATCGTGGGATCCCTTCGAAGCCATGTGAGCTGAGAGGAGGGCGAGCCGAAGACTTGATTTCCCTTTTCACGACATCCGTGTTGCAAGTAAGGCTTAACGGTACAGGAGTTACAGGAGGGCTGTAGAATGAAAGGGCAGGGCTTTGTCGGTTCGACTTGTTTTCTGGATTTTGCGGGATTTCAGCTTCTGGCCTGGATGTGTCCCGCGAAGACACCCGGTCGTGTAAGGACTCATCTTCCAGGCAGCTCGGGTAACTCTGCAAAGCCCTGAAGCGTTAACCAGTCTTTAGGCTCGCAGCCTAAACCGTAGCCAAAAGGTACCAAACCTACAGCCACGCTACCACTTTCAGGCCTGACAGACTAACTGCACCACCCGGCAGGTTCAGTTCATGTCATTTGGGACTTCGCATTAGCATGCTGCCATAAGCCCGGGAAGCCCAGACCTAAGCCGACAAAATCCAAATGATGAACCCTAATACCTAGTGACTGACCCTTAAATCCCGATGCTCCACCAACCCAAAACCTAACCCTTAACTGTAAAGCGGTGTAAAACGCAAACGGAACCCAAGGTCGAGCCCGTAAAGCTTGCTGAACCTGCCTATATCTCCTGTCGCTACATCCTGCTAGGTTTCTCAATATCAGTAAATGAAACCCTAAAGTCCGTAGCGAGGCCTGTATCGACTGTAACCGTGGCAGCCGTAGGCAGCGCAGGAAGCCCAAGAAGCGTTGCCACCCTCCTGACACAAGTATTATAGGGTTACGGCTTAGGTGTTGAGGTCCAGTCATGTGGTAGCACAGGGGTTATATAGCGTTCTCAGAAGGCTATGAGGTTTGCTTCTGGGGTTTATAGGCTTTGGTACAGATCGAGGCCTTAGTAATGAGACTGGCGTCTGGGAAACTTTTCTACTACAACTCAATCAGGGAGCAACTCAGTCAGGGAACCCTAATACCCCTGTGGTAATTGTTCAGTATACCGTCCCTCATAGCCGAACAACGCAAAAAAAAAAGCACCGAAACGCAGCACCGAAGCCCCGCGAACCATGAAGACACAGAAGCCCAATCTGCGACTACCTCGAAACCCCGATCAAACCTCTAAAACCCCAAACCCTAAACCCCCAAAAGTGGCCCTCGGAGATTTTCGGAGTCCTGCGAAAGGGCCAGGTCGGTAGAAATGTTCCCCTGTGGCAGACAAGAGTTTGGGGCTTCATAAACTTTATGCAATTAAATGCGGGTTGGTATGGCTTTCTAATCTGGACTGCAGGGTTTTATGCGTACAGGTTGTTAATGGGGAGGCGGTGCAGGGTTCCGGATTTGGTTTCAGCGGTCAGCTTTGAGTTTACAGAAGAAAGCATGTCAGATCATGGGCATGGTCCCCAGCGGGTGAGTCTGTCGTTTTTTAGATGGACTCCGTTGTAATTTAATGCAAAGAAGCGCATAACTCGATCGATGGGACTCAGGTCATGCAACAAAGAGCTGATAGAGATCTCAATCAGCTGGGTGCTTTCTAATGGTGATGTGCGATCAAAAAAGCATCCCAAAATCACAAAGATCCATTTTGCAATTGCACACAAACAGACCGACTTGCTTGCGGCAAAGCTGACGGAGACTATACGTACGACATGTAATACATAATAATTATAATAACATGGCCATGGGTTCCTCTAATTAGGACAAAAAAACGTTTCGTGCCTCCCAACAAGGGGTCTTCGACAAAAAGTTTCGCGCGCTTTTGCCACCTGCTGCAAATGATGGCTGGAAATTGTACGATGCTAAGACTAAGGGTTACGATTCCGGCTGCCTCCACAGATCCAGCACGGAGCTGCAGGGCATTCAGAGCGCAGGTTTCACCTGAGACAGAGACGGACCCAAAGAATGGTGTGTCTGTACAGCAGTTTGGACTTCGTTGCCGTCGCCTGCGGGGCCGCCCGGCATCTACTGTACGTCTTGATGGGCTGTGGTAGGGTTTGTGGTCTTAGGGCTTTTGAGGTTTAGGGGCTCGTGGTGAAGCCTAGATGGAGAGTTGCTGGCTTCATGGCTTCGTGTTCCCTTAATTTGTGGGATCTTCTCAGGCTGTGAGAGGGCTTGACAAGGGTTTCCGTGAAATTCGGGGTCTTGTTCCCGTAGCGCTTATATTCAGGAGCCTGTCGTTGAAGGCCATTCGGGCCCCTCATCTACCGAAACCCAGTACACTTTACGGAGCAACCTGCGGCCACTGGAACAAACAGCCTGAAGGTAAAATGAAGAAAAGCACACACACACACACACGACAGGATATCGACTGCTCAAAGACTGTCTTGTCGCAAGCTTGTTTTCTCAAAAACCTCTAGAATCTCTAGAATCCCTCATTCCCAACCGCCCGCCACCAACCTCTAAAAGCCCAAAGCCCTTAATCGCTGGACCATCCAGTGCGACCCGCACACTCAGACCCAATATTCGTGGCACCATTCCTTTCCCGAGGAGGTGGCCTTGTACTCCAGCCAGTCCGCCCCGAAACCAAAAATGCCGGGCCCGGGATCACTAGAAGGACACCCTGACTTACTTGAAGGGTACCATCCGAGAATCCGCTGCACTCATCGTCCGCAGTGAGGGAAGTCTCTGAGGACTCCACATCGGCGCTCCTTTGACAAAGGCTTTCGTGATTCAGTGATTTCTATTGCACCTTCTGGTAAGGACGAACTCCTTCTGGCAAAAAACCAAAACTTTACCCTCGTGAAGTCTGGTATTTTCTCTTACAAGAGCACCGCCAGACTACGCGACTCAATTGTATGCTTCTGTGGGAGGGGCGCACCAAGGACCAAGCTTCCTAAGCTTCCCGGCCAAGGCACACGAGACCAAACACGCCCAGCAAGGCGCAGACTTTGGCAAAACCACGCATGGCACCCGATCGAGATGCTTCTTCCGATAGTCGGAAGGCTAGCAAAACGCTGATTGCGAAGCTAGATAAAAGAGTGGCTGCGGCGAGTCAGGCGGAGACTCCAAACTCATCCAGCATCAACAGCTCAGATGACTGGTCTTGCTGGCAGTACGACTCTCAATGCCGGCATGGTTGTTTCACGGAGCATACTCCGAGGGTTTCAACATATTATCATAAGGCCCCGAGTTATCGCTCGAGTCTTCCGCTGGCTTCTGCATGAGCGACATCCTCATGGGGATACCCGACTCTACCCTCGCCGTCGTCCCCAGATTAAGAACCCCCTAAAGCTTGTGCACAATGCAGATGTCTGACGATGGGTTTGTCGATAGATGTACGGTTTAAGGCTTTTTGGCTTGTGTTTTAGGGTTGGGTTTAGTCTACCAAATATCTATCGCGAACCACCCCCCAAGATCCCTTATGCAAATGAGAACCCTGGAGGTCGTGTCGAACCGAAGAAGACCACAAAAGCACCTATCAAGACCTATGGATATCTGACAAGGAACCCACACGTCCCAAGTTTACAGTATCCGAGGGGGACGCTCAACATTGGCACCCTAGATTTCCAAGGACAAAGCTCGCCGAGACCACCTCACCAGTCCAGCTTCAATCGGCTAAGCTGCTCCTGTGCCAGCTGCACCTGGTTTAGGGCTTAGGGCTTAGGGTTGATGTCGCTGAACCCTGGTTAGCTAAGGGCTTCTAGGGTTCGGCTTATGGGTCAAGGGCTGCGGTCTGCAAGGTTTTCATTCGACTCGTAGAAACAGCGCCGTCAGTGGACCGCTTTTCCTGTCCGCAACTTCAGCCAGAATTAAGCCCCAAGCCTCAGACCTCATCCGCAGCGTCGGGAATACAACCGAATTGGGAATCGGACTTCGGTTGTATAGCTTTGACCGAACAGCAATCAACCACGAAACACAATTTAGGGCATTGTTGGTTTAGGGTTTAGGGTTTTGTTGAAGGGGGGTCCACGATTATGAAGTCGGACTCTGGCATGGACCGAAAAGAGCCTGTTACAGCACTGGCAAAGCCCTTTAACCGTGAAGGACCTACTAGCTACTGGCACACCCTAAACTCCTCAACCCTTATGTCAAAACCTTTAGAGGCCTTAACTCTCAATTCTACTTGGAACAGACCGGCTCTGTAGGGAAGACTACGGCCTACGGAAACGCCAAATCTATATTTAGATTCAATCTGCTTTTCAACAAGAAACTTTGTCGATGTATTGTATCGTGGATTGATTGACGCCCTTTTTTCGACAGGACTTGTGCAGTCGCCTAAAGGTCACACCTCAAAACCCTACATGCGCCTACTACGATACGAGCCCTAAACTATCCCGAAATCTTTCAACCCAAACTCCCCCAAGTCTCAACCCCCCCCCCCCCCCCCCCNNAAGCCCCAAGCCCTAAAGCCCTTAACCCGGAATCCCAAAACCCAAAAGCGTCCTAAAAGCTGAGGACTTGGCATCTTTCCGAGCCTCAAGCGGAAAGCTTTCGCCCAGCGTTGAAGGGGAGGGGGGGCGAGGGGGAGGGGGGCTGGTCTGAGCGTGGGGTTTATGTTCGCCTACCAGCTAGGACGTGAGGTTTCCAGGGTTTAGGGTTGAGGGGGTCAAGGGCTCAGGGCCTGGGTTTGATACGACCTGTACAGGAATGTGAAAACGCTTACGCTTCACAAAGGCTATCAGGGTTTACACAAGTGTCTGTAAGGGTTGTGTACGGGATTTGTGAGGGTGTTTTACGATTCTATCAAGTTTTCCACAAAGGCTCTAATGCTGTGACCCTAAACAAAAACCCGCAGCCTATATAGTCTGCTTCAGTTTCGGGTTTTCCGCTTTCCGCAGGGCTCGAGATCTAGCACCTGCGTTGGAACCCATGGTCTGGCTTGACGTTCTTGGGGAGGACACCACAAATGGCTCGGGCTTAGAATCCTTACGTAAGTGCAGGGTTTCTTGCCTCCCACCTAGCTAGGACTTAGGGCTTAGGGGTCGCTGCGGCAAGGCTCTGGGGTCTGTGCTAGGTATCCCTTATGCTTTTGAGGCGTACCTAGGGCATTTAGGCAAGGGGAGAGTTTTTTTGAGTTTTTTTTACTGTGAGCAGAGCTTGCAGCCTGAAGCTGATCGCGCCTCTTCGGGCGAGGAACTTCCGAACAGCCCCGTTTCTTTAAGGCAAAACGAGGCACTTCGGGCTGAGAGGTTTGGGTTTACCGTAGTACCCGACCCGGACCTTGCGCCTGTGGTGTCATAACGCGGGTTATCATAATCCTCGACTCCATGACGGCGGCTGTATCCGATACACATCCGGTTCACATGGCAATGGGCAATTAAGCATCAATCCTGGTCCTCAAGAGTCCAAACCTTCAGACCCCGAACCAGAAACTCCGAAGCCCTCAACCGTGAACCTCAAACCTCAAGGAACCCTCGAAAAGAAGCGCCCGAAACCCTGTAAACACCTTCACGATGAAGTCCCAAACCCAAGAATCCAACTCAGAGCCCTGTTCCTAAGTCGCCGAAGCTTCGGCCTTCGCCCGGCGGTAGAATATGTCGCAGTCGCGGTTGGAGCAGATCACAGGCTCCAAGAGACTTCCTGGTACATACAGCAAGGGTCGAAGAATTGGGAGATGATATAGCAAGATTAGCCGTCTTCGTACATGGCAACACTAGTTTCTTTGGTGATGACATATCTCTATCAGTCCCTAGAAAGATACACTGTAATGTATTCCCGAACCCTGTGTTTCAGAGTCTAGGGTGGAAGCTTGGACCTCCGGGCTATGCTGCTGTGGTCTAGGCCTCATTCTGAACCCGAGAGCTCAAAACCTTTTTTTGCTGCAGGCTTGCAAGCAAGAACGCCTGGTAGGTAGCCACTCTTCCCTAAATCCTTAGACCTCTCAAGCCTGAACCCCAGACCCTTGTTTGCATCTGGTTGAACCAGAACCCTTTTTGCAGCGGGCTTCTCTCGCCCGGAATAGCCGTCGCCGTGAAGCAGTGCAGCACGCGTGACTGCGCAACCCCCTAAACCCTAAATCTTTAGACTTTAGACCTCTAGACCCCGAACCCTTTTCAAAGGATCGCTGTGCTAGCTAAGGCGGCGTAGGGCATACTGCTGACGGAGTGTCAAGCCAGGCTTGGGGCTTGCCCGGGTTGGGGCTTTCGGGCTCTAATATGGGGCCGGAAGATAGAGCTACAATTCCAATATAGGGTTTATGATGTTGGGCCGAATCTCTCCGGCCTCTTGCTGATTTTTGCGCTCAGCCCTAACCCCTTAAGCCGAAAGGGTTGAGGGGTTTAGGGGGTCTCGGGGTTTGGACCTCCAGTATTTGTTGTAGCAGTGCCACTCCAGGGCAGCCCCGCATTCATCCACGGCTTCTCTCTGGCTTAGTGTGTGGGATCATGGGGTTCGGTTGGTAGTAGTAAGTATCATGATACTGTAATACCTCCCCAAGCTCCTTGGCAGCGCTGGCACTGAGTCCACAAGCGATTGTATTCTTGCTCCTGGTCGGAGTGCATTGGGAGGGCTTGCAGCTTCCTAGACCTCCACGCCTTTTGGTTTAGAATCTAGGATGTAGAGTTTCTGTAAGATTTGGGACCGGCCTTAAGGGACAAGCGGAGACCCCCAAGTTGCAGTTACGTATGCGTAGTCATGCGTCCAACACTGACTGTGGCAGGGTTACATGGTAGGCTGGGCTGGTTTGTAAATGCTTCTGCGAGTTTATGCCCAAACTTCAGAGGCCAAACCCACACCAAAACCTCTCACGCCCGACACACAAGTGCTCCTAGACGCGAAGACACAGCCTGCAAGACATCACTTCCAACACCCAACAGTCCCGAACCGAAATCCCGCACAGCCAGAAGCCACCGACCCCGAACCGAAACCCAAGCTCCCATTTACGGAGCGGCCTAAGTTCTTCGGCGCCTTCTCTTGGAAATCCTTCATCTGACCCACAACCACCTCGTTGCAGGAGCTTTGGGTGCAGGGTATGTTCTTGGCATTGGGGGGAATTGGAAGAAGGCCGTGCGCTGATACAGTCGGGGAGCCAGCGCTGAGGTCGTTGATGGAAGTTGAGGGGGAGGTCGAGGGGCGATTAGGGACGTTGGCGCTTCCGGAGTTTTTTTCCCTCTCGCGTGGTTGAGATCTATGCTCACTGGCGAGGCTTCTTTGGCGAACCGAGATAGCATGCACCCAGCACGAACTTTCACTTAGAATGTTCGTAACCTTCGAAGTTACAGCACCAAGCAAAATCTACCCCTTCCGAACTGATCCAACAGTCCACATAAACAAATGTCCAAGGAAAGGGGTTCCGATTTTCACAAGGTGCTTCTTGCCTTCTGGGCTTTTGTTGGACTCAATGCCTTAAGCATCTCTCACATCTCTCCCAGACTTGCAAAGAACCAGCGCCGGTGAGCATAGCATTAAACCTGCGAATGTATATTGCAGCAAGGGGGAGGAAAGATGTACAAAAGTATACAACCCCTGC